GCAGAATGTCCAAGTGGGGGGGATCTGATCCCACCCTGGGATGGAAGCTGGCATCCACCCTGGGAGCATGGCCAATGCTTGTGGGTCTTTTGTCTTCCCTACCCCCAAATTCCAAAACACTTTAGAGCAGAGAGCCAGGACCTTATCAGGACAAGAGGGGGTGGGGATGACACCCTTGATTGAGGGCAGACCCTTGAGCCAGGCAGAACCCCTTTCCCCAGGCCTCAGGAAGCCTGGCCTTCAGGGCACCCTCTAGGGAAACCACCAAGCAGGAGCAGAGGCTGTTGTGCGGGCGGAGGTGGGACGTTGCCCTCATACCTGGTTCTTGTCGAACTCGTCCATAGCCTGAATGACCCCGTCGCGGTAGTTCATCCCCATCACCGAGGCAAATTGGGGGACGAAGCCAGCATAACCTGGGGGTGGGCAGGTGTCATGGTCCATCTGATCCCCTGGGTGTACCAGGCTGTTCCAGATACATCAGCGAACCCTGGTGAGACTCCTTTCCTTCCTGAACGTTGGCAACTGCCTCTTGGGGCCAATCACGAATAAGCAACAGAGGAGCCCTCGAGAGGGGCCTCCATGGCTCTCATCCTCTATCTCACCTGGGCCCTGGAATCTTGTGGGGGAGGGGTGCCCCTCTCCAGACCAGCCCACACCCCCAGTACCCACCTGAGATGGCTTTTCGTTGGATCAGGTTGGGGTGGTCCAGCTGGGGCAGCCGCTGGAATCTGCCCACGTCCAGTGTCTCCTGCAGACGGGGTGGGGGCGGGTACTCATCCCTCCTGTAGTGGTACAGCTGGAGTGGAGGAGGAGGGGTGAGTCACTAGCCCAGCTCCCACCTGAGTCTGCGTGGGGGTGAGGCCTGGTGCAATGTGTCTCCCAGTTACCTGGTACTGCCCGGGGGACTCATGGACAGGGACAGCGCTCTTCCAGGCCTCTTCCCCATACGCCAGCCGCAGGCCCGGGTGACCCACGTCTCCCGAGTCCCCTTTCCTGCCTGGTGGGCACGGCGGGTAGGGTGGGTAGGGCATAAAGCCTGCAGGCAGTGGAACCTGTCTGGATATGTCCTCGTCACCTGGTGGCCTCTGGGCATCCCCCTCCTTGGGTGGGAGCTGGCCCAGGATCTCAAAATTCTTATAGGGCTTGAGACCTGTGCAGACAGAGCAGCCGGTGACAACACAGCAGGAGAGCGGCCCGGGAGGGGCAGGGCTGGGGCTGGCAGCTCACCAGTGTAGTGGGGGATGTAGGGCTCAGTCAGGTCCCGGCAGGGATTAAAGGAGGGCTTGGGTTTGCTGAAGTCTTCGATGAACTTGGGCTTGGACATGGGGGACAGCACGGAGCAGGGGCTCTTCTGCACGCTGGGGTCTGTGAGCAGCTGCGCTGTGGTGCGTCCATAGGTATTCCCCACCTGGTAGCGCAGCTGCGGATAGAAGCCGGCATAGCTGCGGAGGGGGAGGGGGAGGCAGGGTGGATCGGTGAGGGCAGTCCCCGCAGCCAGGCAGGGCCCCTGCCAGCAGGACGGATGCAGCCTGCCTGCCTCGTAGCAGCTTCATGACCTATGGCAGGTCACGGAGCCTCCACTCCCTTGTGAAATGGGGGTTGCGGTGGCACGTGCCTTCTGGGCTTGAATCTTGAATGGGTAGCAGGTGCCTCTGCGCTGAGAATGTGCCTTGCCCCTGTGTGAGCTTTGCTGTCATCACCCCCACCAGCCTGGGCTCTACCTCCACTCAGCCCTCCTCCCACCCACTGTCCCAGCCCTCTCCTAGCCCTCACTCTGACAAGGGCATGGGCAGCTCTGCCCCGTGGAAGCGTGTACAGGCTCAGAACAGGGCCCAGGCACAGGGAGGTTCCTTGTACACAAGTTGGTCCCACCAGGGAGGTGACAATCGGATTTGGCCTGGACTTTTGCCACCCTGGGAGGCCAGCAGCCAACCATGGGACCGGGACATGGCAGGCAGGGGGGCAGGCAGCTGGAAGCTGGTGGCGTGTGGGGTGAGCTTTGAAGGGGAGCAGCCACTTCCCCAGATGGGGAGATGGTGCAGGTGTCTCAGTGCAGGCTCCACGGATGGCAGTCACTGGTCCAGTGCTGCTGGGAGGCCTGTGTAGTCACCCAAGGAGTGTGAATCGTCTTCTTTTAAAAAATTGCAAAGTTAACACAGGTTCGTGAGTGTAAAGGTGAGCGAGGCTGAGAGTCAGCTTCAGTGTCACTTGCTCCACAGGCGACCACAGTTAAAGACAGGCTTGGTCCCTCCCACCCTTTCCACCCACATGTATCTGTGTGTGCGCATGTAGGAGGGTGTGCTGTAGAGGGGCGGTCTTTACCTTTTCACCTGAGGGGTACCTAGTGAGGCACCTGCTGTGCTGCTCTCTTCGTTAAAGCATGGAGTGCTCAATAAGGCGAGCACCTGCCTCTGCTCACTCAGCCTGCCTCTGCTCGCCATTTGGGTGCCTCAGTTTCTTTCTTTCTTTCTTTCTTTTTTTAAAAGATGACCAGTAAGGGGATCTTAACCCTTGACTTGCTGTTGTCAGCACCACGCTCACCCAGTGAGCCAACCGGCATCCATATATAGGGATCCAAACCTGTGGCCTTGGTGTTGTCAGCACCACACTCTCCCAAGTGAGCCACGGGCTGGCCCCTGGGTGCCTCAGTTTCTGCTCTTGACATGCCGGCCACCTGGCACAGGATCTGACGTCCAGTCACCGAGTGCTTTCTCTGTCCCAGAGCCCTTCAGCCCACCGGGCCTCAATCCCTGGCTCCCTGGCATTCCTGGCCTGTAGTACCCCACAGCTTCTTGGAGCCCAGCTCTGGAGCCCCCTCACAGCTGGCCTCCAGCCCTTAGGCCCCAGCCCCATGCCCGCATCCCCAGCCATGACCCCAGCCTCCTGCCAGAGCTGGCGGCTCTTACCCAGGGATGTAGTGAGGTTCTGGTGTGAAGAGGTTGTGTTTCTGAGTAGCTGTCATTCTGCCTCAACTCCACCCTTGCTGGCTCCAGCCCCTTTTCTCCTGTGTCTGGCCCCCTTCCCTGAGAGGGGCCCTGTCACCTGGCAACCATTGTGAAGGCCCCCCACCCCCCGCATTGTTGGGCACCACCTGGGCCAGGCCAACTTGTTGACCCTGTGGTGCTCCCACTGCACAGGCAGGACATGGAGGTCCAGACATGTGCCAGGTGGGGAAGGTGTCATGGCAGGAAGCCCCCACTGACTGCAGAGCTCAGAAAATGGGGACCATCCCACCAGGAAGGACCTGGACTCTTGCTGTCCCCAGGAGGCCAGTAGCCAACTGAAAAGCAGCCCCTGCCCCCCATCTTGACCCAATCCCCCTCCTCTGACAAGAGGTCCTTGCAGCTGCAGAGACTCAGCATTTCCAGCCTGCAGAGCTGTGTGGACTCTCTCCAGAAGGCTCTTTCACCTGGAGCAGGACATTATTTTCCATTTGAAACAAATCCTGACTTAAAAATTATTTTTTTGGTATAGGAAGAACTTTCTAACCATAAAAATGAAGAAAGATATTGTAATGGAAAAGATTAATAGATTCAACTACATGTCAAAAACCGGCATAAACAATACTAAAAGGCAGACTACAAACTGGGAAAACATTTGCAGCAAGTGTTACCAACAGATAGCATATCAGCATGAAAAGCTCTTTTACAAAACAAGAACATGAAAAATTAACACCCCTATAGAAAATGCACACATAATATGAAAATTTTAAGAGAAAAAAACCCATAGTGAATAAATGTATGGACATAGGTTGAACCTTAATCAAGTAAATGCTGATTAAATGCTGATAATGTCAGTTTCTAATGCTCATTGCTGGCAGGTCACAGTGGGAATGCCTTCTAATTTGGGAGACGCCTTCTGGAACGCAATTTGGTGAAACAGATCAAGTCCGTACAGGACCCACTGCATCTGCTCACAGGAACCCATCGTAAGGAAATGATCTGATACTTATCTAAGATACCTGTGAAATGTCGTTCACCACCACAGTATTCCTTACAGGGAGGAACTGGAGTTAGCCCGTGTCCAGTGACAAGGCTCTGTTGGTCAGCGGATGTACGGCAGAGTTACGTTTCTGCGCAGTCAGTTGTGCCCTCAAAGAATACTGCCCAACGTGGGAGGGGCCCTGAGGCACAGCTTGTGAACCCCTCTCCCAAATAAAACATGGGTTTCCTCAAGCATGTTTCTCTCCTTGTGGCCAGAGTGCCTCCTGAGTGCTAGGTAGGGCCAGTGCTGGGTGGGTCAGGGAGGAGCAGGGCTCAGAGGAGGTCTGTGGATAACACATTCTTGACTAGGCCCTGCCTGGGTGCATCTGGTCGGGGTCAAGATCAGGGCTGGGGCTGGCAAGCCGGTCAGCTCCAGAGGCTGCACTGCAAGAGCCGCAGTGCCCAGACAGGCTCTTGGTCATCAGTCTCCTTATCCCTTGGCAGCTTGCAGGGCTGCCCAGTCCATCTGTGACACCTTCTAGCCTCTGTGTCTCCAGGCAGAAGACAGCCTCATACCCCAGCCCTATAGGCAGCTCCTCCTCCAGAGGCCTTCCTGGACTTCCCGCTCCACCTTCCCCCATGAATCTGGCCTGGCCCCACACAGCTGGGAATGCTGTAGGACTCAGCAAATGCTCATGGGTCCTACTCCCTGACCCTCCACAGGGGTCTCCAACCTCCCAGAAGCTCTGCTAGAATGGACCCTGCCCCCCGGGAGACCCTGGAGTGCAGGAGAGGGTCAAGAGTTGGAACAAGGAAAGGGGGAAGGGAATAAAGGAGTCTGGGCCAGGAGTCCACTGGGCAGGCTAGGGAGGCTCCTGGCCAAGGCTGGCCCCAATGTGACCCACTGGCAGGTAGGGGAGGGGCCTTACGGGTGGGGGCCCACCGGGGCAGCCCCTCCAGGCCTGGACAATGCTTCTTCCCCAGCGAGCCCCTGGCAACAGAAGGGGGGGCCCCAAGACAGGCCAGTGAAGTCACAGAACCCAGCAGTGCCCTCAGGGAAGGGAGCCGGAGACTCTGATGATGAATTTTGACCAGAAGGCCGTGAAATTCCTGGCAAATTTTTACATCAATGGAGGCAAACACTGGACCCATGGTCCCCTGAGTCAGAAGCCACTAGAGCCCACCCAGTAACTTCAGAGGGCGGTGGGCAGCCTGGGGCGGTGGCCAGGGTGGGGCAGCTGGTGGGCTGGGTGGATGGTGGCTGCCATTCTCCCTTGCAGGACCGAGGCTGCTGTGCTGTTGTCAGGGGCGGCCTGGGATGAGATGTGGCCCTCGGGAAGGCAGGAGCTTCCAGCTGGCCTCAGGCGAAGAATGGGCACCCCCTGGGAGTCCCTGCCAACCTGCACCCGGACCCTGAGGGAGCTGCGTGAGTGAAGGTCCAGGCTAGTGGGGTGGGGGGAGGGGGAGAGGGAGCTACTGGAAGGAACCCAGGTCCAGAGCTTGCTTCTTGCGGCCAGTGTTGGAGCAGCGCCCCCCCATCGTGACCGACCTGGATGTCCCCAGCCCCACCAAGTACCAGATGCTGAGCCCATCTGTGCGAGAATCCTCCCCACACCCCCAGTACAGCATGGGCCGCAAGCACTCTGGCCGAGGTTCGTGTCCCGTGCCCCAAGCCCCCCACCCCACCTGGCCTGTCCCCACCCTGGGGACGGAGCCTGAGGCCCCTCCCCCCAGCGTTCCCTCCGCAACCGATGTTGACGCTCCCACTGCAGAGGGCGGTGGCCGCAGGGCCTGGCAAACCATGTGGTTCCAGAGCGAAAGCCCCTTCACGCAGAAAGCAGACTTTAACCGAGAACAAAAGGTGAGGGGCTCGCCCGGGGCAGGTCCTGCAGGGGAGGGCGGGAGGGCGCGGGGGTGGGCGAGGCGTGGGCCCTGCAGCCCGGTCTCCTGCTCCCTCACAGTGGCCATCGCCCGCCGACCACCGGCCACACAGCCGGCCTGCCTTCCCGGCATTCAGCTTTGGAGGCCACCCCCCTGCCTCCAAGACACCTGGGGGCCACGCCTGCCCAGCACTGGCCCGGGCCAGGGGATCAGACCCCCATGTCCAGTCCCCGCTCCAGGCTCCTCCGCGGCCCCAGGGGGAGAAGCGCCCCAGCCCCAACTCCTACAACATCCTTCCTGGGAGCCGCCTGCAGAGCCCACGCCCGCCTGCCTTCTCCATGGGCCGCTCACCCGCGCTCGCCTGCTGGGTCAGCTCCTGTAAGGGGGCCTGAGAGAGAGGACGGCCAGGGCGGGCCGAGGGCGGGGGTCGCGGCAGGGCGGAGGACAGTGGTCCAGGCACCTGGGCTGGAGCTCCCAGACCTCTCTCCCTGCAGCCCGGACCCCTGGCCCGGCCGCCTACTACGTAGAGGACTGCTACAACTCGCGCTTCCCCTCTGCGCCCGGCGTGGTCATCCAGGGCGTGCGCAGGCCCAAGCGCCACGACACAGGCCCCTTCTGCACACTCTAGCACCCGCCCGGCACAGCCAGCCTGCCCGGTTATCTCGTGGAACCCTGGCCTCCCTCTCGAACTTGGCACCCCCAGTCTGGCCTTCCGACCCTCTGGGCAATCCTGATTCACCCTCTTGGTCGGCTGATGCTTCTGTGAGCTGTGGATAAGGAGAGCCCAGCCTGGAGCCCCCACCTGCCCACCCCCTCGCTATACAGAGATGCTGTCGGTTCTTCCAAACTCTGCAGTGTGCCTGGCTGCCTGCCCCTCACCTGGTGGGCTGACCTGAAGATGTAACCTGTGGTCGACCTGTCACTTCCAGTTTTCCCTATCAAGGGATTTCCATTCTGCTGCCTCTGAAGGGTGTTCTCTTCTCTAGGGTAGGTTGGGCTGGCAGCCTGGGACTGACCCTGAGCCCCCCTGGCCTGAGACAGGATGGGAGGAGGGCCTAGTGGGCAGTGTAGGACACCTCCACCCAGCCATGCCACCCAGGGGACTGGTCCAGCTGTCAGGCTACTTGCTGAACCGAGGAACTGACTATTTATTGGGTTGGAGGGTGGACCAGAGTCCAGGCATTGCCATCTTGAGGCGGGGTCAGCCTGCCCAGCCACCAGGGAGGGCTCAAAGGACCAGCTCATCAGGGCCTGGCTGCACTTCCCCCAGGCCTTGACCTGAATTGAAGGTTCACCTGCACCCTGACATCTCTGGCCCACAGCCAACAGACTCTCTGGGCCTTGGCCTGTTAGGCCCCGGCCCCTGCCCCCAAGCTTTAGGCACATGGTAGTAGCAGCCTGGCTGTTGGTTCCTCATCCCCATTGGCCTGTCCTCCTACCTGGAGGTTGGGCCCCAAGCCTGCCACTCTGCAGGAGCCTCATCTGCAGTTACTGGTGGCTCCTGTGACTGCACCTAGTCCCCCAGGTACCCTCCGTGCAATTCCCACCCTCCCCCACCCAATCCCTGGGCCAGGCCCAGATCTCAGTCCCTCCAAAAAGGCTCCGCAACAGCTGTTCCTGCGGCCTCAGCATCACCCCCTGCAGAGTCTGAGTGCCATGCACCTGTGTCCTCCTCTACAATTGAACCAGCTGGGGGCCCAACCCCAGCACCCTGGGGAAGCAGGACCTTTGCCACTGACCCTAGGCTGACCCAGTAGGAGAACTGTAGTAGTCCTGGCCTCGGGAGCTCAGCCCTGGGTGGGGCGAACAGCAGCTTTGCACCCCAGGGATCCAAAGCCAGCGGGAAGGATGGAACAATCCTTTCCAGCTAGGCTGAGGAGGGAGGGCTTCCTGGAGGAGGTGGTGGCGGAGGGGGCTTTCAAGAATGAGCAAGAGTTGCTGCACAGCAGGATTGGAGTTTCTATCAAGGCAAACTGCAGCAGCAAAGGCACATGAAAAGGGCGAGGGTGTGGTGTCTGGTGTGGCAGGGCTGGTGGGATGAAGGCAGGTGAGCTGGAGGGTGCAGAGGCTGCAGAAGGCTGGATGCTGGGGCCAGGGGCTCACACACAGCAACAGGGAGCCTGCCGCCTGGGAGGGACACTGTGGAACCTGGACTGTCATTCACGACTTTATGGAACTCGGCTTGAGGGTCTACCTCTGGAGTTAGCTGGCGGTTAGGTCCTCACCGGGCCTATGAGAACAGCCGCGGCTGGTCTCTGCTAGGCACCCCCAGCTCGCCGGAGGCACCCTTAGAGTCTAGCCTTTGCGAGAACCTTACAGTGCGCTCTGTCTCCGTTTGACTCGGAAGAAGCCAAGTTCCAGGGAATGTGAGGACAGTTCACGTATGTACTGCACCTGTGCTGCGCACCTGGTAGGACCCCGGTAACTCAAGCAAAAGTATCCTCAGCGTCCCGAGGCTGCTGTGCGACCAGCAATAGGATTGTTCACGATCATAAAGAATATTTACTTGCCGACCCCGCCGACACCCCCGGTGCCCCGTCGCACGCCGGTGCTCCTCTTCCCGCCCCACTGGCCCAAACGTGGGTTCTGTGCCCCCAGAGGAAGGAAGAGGCCAGAGGCTAAGCACGCCGCGGGACCGCACGGCGCCAGCCAGTGTGGTTGCAGTGCGGGGCGGAGGA